TGAAAGACATGAAATAGTAATCCACAAAAGGCTGAAGTTTGCAAATTAAAAACACTTTATGTTAAACAATATTTTAACAAAGAAAAAAATCTAAGTTTCAATTCAACCAGCAAAGATAGTAATAATAATAATAATAATAATAGATGTATAAGGGAGCTCTGGTAGCCTAGTGGTAAGAAACTGTAATGCAATCCCAAGGGCATGTGATCTAAATCCATCAGGTGCTCCATGGGAGAAGGATGGGCAACCTCCTCCCCTACAATCAACTGCTTCTGAAAACCTCCTGGATGGTCAGGTACAGGCTCATTCTGACTCTATGACAAACAACAACATACATATATGCACGTAATAACATAGTCCCAATAGTATGATGCAGTAATATGATGCAAATACTAACAGAATAAAGAGAGAAACAGTTCCAAAAGAACAGACTTCAATAAGCATTTTCAGTAACAGAATACCTAAAGAAGCTACGGTACAATGTGTTAGATTTCACATTGCTAACCAAAAAGTCAATTAGTACTCTCCTTCTTTAAGGTTCTGTTACTGTCATTGTGTGCTGAGTCAACTAAGATTCCCAGGAACTATGAGCATTAGATCAATACCTTATCCTATCCTGCATTACTCTTAAAATATCCGTAAATCTTTACAGCCTCAGAAATCCGATCTGGAATAAATTTGACAGCAGCGAATTTTAAGTCAAATATAGATCTCTCCATGCAGTATATAATAGTTCATGATAAATTAAGAATCTCTGATGACCTAGTGGTAAAGAGCTGTACTGCCAACCAGAATGTGGTTGGAATCCACTAGCTGCAGTTTTGTGAGTTATATAGCACTGTGAAGGTAATTAATATCACAGAATTATAAATAGTAAATTTTATGTTAAAGCACAGGAAAAATGGAGATCAACAAAAACAAAAATTGGTTTTAGTCAATGAAAAAGAAACACTTTTTTACGCAAACTGACCAGAGTAAAAGAAGACAACTAAACACAGATGTGAGGCTGTTATTACCGATTGTACAGATTTTAAAAATACTATGAACAGCTAACTATATGCCAACAAGATGTGTTAAACGAAATTAAAATATTCCTCATTAGATGATACAATACAGTGCAAGCACATACTTGTCAGTAACAGAGGTGCTTAATATGACTATCAAGACATATGTATTGTAGGTTATAAATATACATTATATAAATGTTACATTAATGCCTGGTTGTACAATCACTTCAGATATGAGACATGAAATATGCTATTGAGAATCATGATCTAGCAAAGTTGACAGAACCTTAACCATTACAACAATCTAAACATAACAGCTGATAACATTTTTAATAGAAAACAAAGGGGCAAATTTTCAGATCCCATATTTAGCAACAGATCCCGTATTTAAGGCACAATTAAAAAGCACAAGAAACAGAAATACAGGCAAACTGTACTATATGAAAATGAAAAAGGTTTTTGTCAAAAGACATGACCAGAAAACCCCAACCTACAAAATGAAAATCAAATGTCTACTATTTAATATCCAGATAAAGAATTTATGACAAAAACATAACCCAATTTAAAAAACAAGCAAAGGACCAGAATAGGTATTTCTTTAGAGAAGAGAAACTAAAAGCCAGCAAATATATGAAAAAATGCTCCCTATCATTATAAAATCAAAACTACAATGAGATACTGCTATCCCATGGCAGCAAAATGGACTAAGCACTGGAGAGTCCAATCCTACCAACTGTTCCAAAGGAGATAGACTAGGCAGTTTTCTGCAATAAAGATTTACAGCTTTCGAAAGCCTATGCAGGGTTTCCAAATGCTCCATGTCCTACAGATTCACTAAAATTCGGACTTGACTGGATGGCTGTGTGATAAGTCTTGTCACCAAGGTTGTTTTAGGTATTAAAATAGTGTTCTAACTTTTATTTCTTCTAAACTTGCTTTGCACCAATTTTAATCCTTTCTTATTTGAGTGGTATTCAATTTTATGATTATTTGATATATTTAAAAGTTAAAAAATCTAGCTTCTAAAATATATTTCTTTGCATTACTCACCACTGCAATAACACAGAAACAGCCCAAATATCCAACCACAAATGAATGGATTGAGAAATTATGGTACATTCACACAATGGAATACTATTGGAGCATGCAGAACAGTAACTTTGTAAATTATTACCTAACGTGGGGAGGACTGGAGAGCATTATGCTGAGTGAATTAACTCAGTCCCACAAGGATAAATATTGTATAAAACTATTATTGTAGAATGAGTATAAGGATCCAGGAGGGGTGGGAGAGGCTGGAAGCAGAGGGATGTGGATGTGCAGGGGTAGGTTGTATATTTGATGGGGGGGGGGGGAATTTAATTTTTTCAAATTTGTATTTTAATTTGGTAAATAAACTAGTAGAAAAAAAATAAAATCTAAAAAAAATTTAAAAAAAAAAATTAAAATCTATTTCTTTGTTGGTACCCTTTCTCCAAATATATTTTTCTTCTCTGGTCTTCCTACAAGTCCAAAAACACTAGCATGAAAACTGGTGTTCCATTAATGGATACCTGCAGGAGTCAGAGAAATCTTCTTTTCCCTTGTCATATCCTTCTTCACAATGTTTGATATAAGTTCTCAGTCTTTTTTTAATATGACAATTCAACAGGACAACATTGGCAGGAAGTCCTGGAATGGAGACTCTGAAGAGGCACAGAAAGCCTATTTAGGAACCTGACAAGTGAGACTAGATTACTGGGAGGATTATAGAGACAAAAAGTCAAAGCAGGGTGACTGGCTGCCATCTTTGAATACTACATTGTCATTTACAAAGGTGTCTTTAAGAACCAAATTACCAAACCTTTAAATTATCTGGTTCTCCTTAGCTCAGCCAAGGATGTGTCAGCAAAAACAGACCAGAATTTGTGTATATAATTCTAGTGAATGGGAGAGAGCCAGAATGGGAAAAATTTACAGGTCAAAACCTTACAGAAAATCACCTTCTTACAGGCAAAGGGCCATATATTCAGTGCACACATATAAAAATCTTTCGTCTCTGGATCTTAAATATCACCAGAACAGAACTGGTGACTTTGCAGGCTGACTGTGCTGCTCTGAATGTATCTTTATCCTGGGACCAGTGTCTTGAAAGAGCTCACTACATAATACTGTTCTGTGTACTATGTCAAACCTTAAAACTCCAGGTCTGTTCTTACTTTGGCGTAAGAAAGAGATGTTTTAAATTGACTGTTTGTAACCTGGAGCCTGACTTTTAAGTCTAAAAAGAGAACTGTATGTACCTGGTCAGTTTAAATCCTTCAAGACACAGTTAACAAAGATCTTGCTCGTAACCCAGGGGCTCTCTGTAGTAAGTTGTTTTTAATGGAAAAAAAATTGTACAGAACCAGAGACGGGCAACTGGCTGAATAAAATATACAAAAAAAAAATATACTATGCTATATGACTGATTTTTTTAAAAAAAGATCTCTGTGAATTTATTAAGAGTTAATTTCTATGATATACTAATAGAAATTATTAGTAATATACCTAGTACGGTATTACTGTGTAAGAAATAAGGTGAAATAAGATATGTAAGCACATAACAACAAGAAGAAGAAGATATGTAAGCATCTGCTTATGTCTGGAAAACGGGGATAAAATAGACACTACTGGAGGTGGGACATTAGCATGGATGAGTAAAAAATGTGAGAATGGGACGGAAGTGATGATTGGCAGTGATACACGTGATACTTTTTAACTTTTAGAGACCTATTAATGCTTTTAACTTAAAAAAAAACAAACAAAAACACACAAACTCCTTAAAACAAAAGAGGATTAAAACCCAATCAGAAATAGGTGTCACACACACACAAAAAAGAAATAGGTGTCACAAGAACCCGAAAACCATACAATAAAGTACTAACCCAATTAACAATGTTTCATAAGTGCACAAAATTCATCCTAGGGTATTTTTTCACCCTTAAGACAATGAAAAACTGCAATGCTTAGAATCTCATCACAAAAAATAAGAAACTTAACTAATATCAACTTTCACATTGTAATATTAGAAAATGACAAAAGCAGAGTTAATAGAGTTAAATATCAAGATAGACATTGTAAATGCTGAAAATTCAACAATTTCTACACAATGTCTAATGACAATGGTTGAGATGTTAACAATGGCTAACATGGTTTATATTCTTCACATTATGTCAACATTCTTATTATTCTATTCTAACTTTCATCCCTGTGTTGCGTCAATGACTCACAATATTCTCACTTGTACTTTAGAATAACATACAAATGTCTCAAAGAATTTTATTAATTTTTTTTAAAGGACAGTACTCAAGAATAACATTTTTAAGTTTTTAAACTAACCTTCTATTTAGTTAAAAGGTGACTTCAAAGAACAGTTTCAGCTCAACATTTAAATATTTATCTCTGGGCAAGAATAGCCTCACTTGGATTCTGCCAACTTCAGTGGCTCCTTTAAGTCTGAATTCTTTGAAATTTTGACGTTCTGTTCCACATTTCACTCCTTTCTATTAGGATTCATCTACTGTTATGCTGCTTAAAATGTTCGGTTGTGGCAGGTGGGCACCATCTAATTCTTCTGATTGCAAAGTAGAAGTCATGACACAATCGATAGTTTAATTTCCTCTTGTGTTCTATAGCTTCCTATTGCCACCACACAAACAGGAACTCTTCAAAGATACTCTGAAATATGAAATCTTTCTGGGATCAGGCGAGTTCAAGGTTACAAAAAAGAAAAGCAAACCTATACCCACAGAACATGATTAAAAAAAATACACACATCTGGTGGAAATCTGGGTCACAAGCGGAAAACTGTAACAGCACAGTTCAGCTCTTCATTTCTATTCTTATCCCCTTTTCAAGAATTTGCTTTCCCCTTCCTTCAACAATTCTTTACCCCTGGAGATTTATGGAAGGTGTAGAGAAATAATGTAGCAAAATAAAGGCTATTTTAAACCACCAGGCTCTAATACTTACATGAAGAACTGTGAACCATTAGTATCCTTCCCTCTGTTGGCCATTGACAAAAGGAATTCTTTGTTGTGTTTAACAGCAAAACTTTCATCTATAGAATAGCAAAGTTTTCAGTTACATTACAGATACAACTCCTCAAATTCATTCACACTTTTTACATCTGATACAGGCTTTAAAGCCATATAAGATTTATATAATAAAGTTAGACTATAAAAAGAGAGAACCAAATAAGAATCCATTTCTCCCTTACATTTGAAAACATTTAGAAGGTCCCATTCATCTATGTTATCTTCTCCTGGTTGTAGCTTTTCCAGGATACTGAAAACATTTAGAAATTTTTATCCCTTGCTATACATAAAACCCAAGTATTGCATCAACTTTCCTTCTATTTCCACTTGTCCTTTACAGTTTCTAGAAATTACTTTCTTTGCTTATTACTCCAAAAGGAAGTGAAACTCTCAGATAAAAACAGCAAGAAAAATATTTCAGATAGGATTCTTTTACTTTTTACCTATTTTGATTCTGAGTCCAGGTATCAAATTCACTTTGCTATTACAAAAGATCTATATTAATACTTGTTTTTGCTAAGCAAAACAAATTGAAAACGCTCATTTTATGGGAGGGAAAAGAAGAAAAAAGCAAAACCAGTGTTTAGCTTTTGCTCTGTAGCAAATCGTTAAACAGAGAGCACATAGTCCAAACCATACTCCTCTCGGAAACATACACATCTCAACAACAACTATTATAGTTTTGACCTGAATCTCTGAATAATATATGTTGTTATTATTTTAAATTTTATGCGCTATTTGGTATGATTTGGTAGGCTATATTTTTATTCCAGAATACTTTAAAAAATTCTATTTATTGTTCCTTTATGCCATTTTGATTACACAAGGTTTCACAAGAATATTTTTTCATATAGCAGAGAATAATTACACAGGGAGGCACAGTATTACTACTATACTCATTAACTTCACCTTGCTATATTATCATCTATTATAAACAAGTCCTAAAAAAAATAAAAATAAAAAAAATAAACAAGTCCTTACCTTCTAATCTTTAATTAAGATTTGAAAACAAAACAATTTTAAACATATGCTAAAGTATCCTCAATTTCAAAATTATTAAAAATATTAAATTATAGCTAAGTTTATACATGCTTACAAAATTTTGCAAATGCTTTCACATCAATGAAAAAAGCTCAGAGGAAAGATTAAAAGGAGAAAATAGGAGAGGGGGGAAAAAAAGTTAGTAGAAAGTAATAGCCACATTTTAGAATATCAAAGATGGGGGAGGAGAACTTCAAAGGAAAAAGGAAGCTCTGGTAGCCAAGTTGGTAGACAGTTAGGCTGGCAACCCAAAGACAGGTAGTCCTAAATGACAAGCTGCTCCCGAAGAAATGGATAGGCAAACTCCTCCTTTGTGATTTACAGCATCTAAAAACCCTGTGGAGGGTCAGCTAGGAGTTGGTTCTCACTTGACAACAATGAGCTGAGGTTTCTGGTGACTTAGTGGTAAGGAATTGTGCTGCCAACACAGAGGTTGTTGTTGTGCACCACAGAGTCGGAACCAACCCAGAGCTGACCTTCTGGCAGGTTTTTGGGGCAGTTAATCATACTGGAGGAGACTGTCCATCCTTCTCCCGTGGAGCGGCTGGTGGTCTCAAATGACATGCCTTCAGGATTGCAGCCCAACTTCTCTTCTTTTGGCCACCAGAGTACATGGTTCAAATCCACCAGCTGCTCTAAAGAGAAAGATGGTTATCTCCAGTGTGATTTATTGTCTCTGAAAAGTTGCTTGAAAGGTTAGCAATAGCTTGGTTCTGACTAGATGGTATATAACAACAAAATACCACTGGATATTTTGAACTACTGCTGACGGTTAATGAAGGCTGCTTTAAGTTCAAGCAATTAAAAGTTTCTTATCTAGCACTACAATTTTAAGAATTTAGTTAAACATTGAAATTCTTCAAATAATGTCTTAAATCATTATTCATCTGTCATGCTGTGGTGGCTTGTGTAGTGGTATGATGTTGAGAGCTATGACAAAGGTATTTCAAATATCAGCAAGGTCATCCATGGTAGGCAGATTTCATTGGATTATCCAGACTAAAACAGACTAGAAAGCAGGTCTGGCCATTACTTCTTAAACAATGGGTCAGTAAAAATCCTATGCATAGCTATGCCAGAATTTGAGGCACTCAGGTTGGAAGGTAACATGACTAGAGAAGAGCTGACTTCTCAAAATAGAGTCTACCTTAATAAGGAGGATATAATAGAGCTTTCAGGCAATGAAGGACCTTCATTTGTTGATGTAGCATAACTAACAATAAGGAGAAAAAGCTGCAAACATTCATTAATAATTTTAATAACTATCAAGTTTTAATTATTGGTCCACGATTATATCAATACACAGTATCATGATAAGTAGTAGACAGATTTAAATTGTTATGGACTTCGTTTTATTTGGATCCACAATCAATACCCTGGCAACAGTAGTCAAGAAATGAAACCAGTTTGCTGCAAAAGATTTCTTTAAGTGCAGCAAAACAGTTTGTCTATTTAAAGACCAAGGTGCATCTGGCCCAAGCCAAGGTATTTTCAATTGTTTCACATGGATCTGGAAGTTGGGCAGTGAGTAAGGAAGACCAAAGAAGAACTGATGCCTTTGAACTACAGTGTTGGCATAGTACTGACTATACCAGAGAATGCTGAAAAAACAAACAAGTCTGTTTTAGAAGAAGTACAAAAAGAGTGCTCCTTGGAGGCAAGTTTGCTGAAACTTTGTATCAGATACTTTGGATATGTTGTTAGTGTTTGGGAAGAGATACTATGCTTAGAAAAGTAGAGGATTCAAGCAACAAATGCTGGCGAGGTTGTGGAGACACTGGAACCCCTAACCCCTATTCACTGTTGGTGGAAGTGTAAAATGGTGCAACCACTGTGGAAGGCAGTATGGCGCTTTCTCAAAAAGTTGCAAATAAAGATACCATTTGACCCAGCAATTCCACTACTGGGAATATACCCTGAAGAGACCATAACTGACATCCAAGCAGATATATGCACACCCATGTTTTTCACGGCTTTGTTCACAATAGTAAGGATCTGGAAACAACCCAGGTGCCCATCAACAAACAAATGGATAGAGAAGCTGTGGTATATTCACACAACAGAATACTATGTTGCATTGAAAAACAAGAAACTTATGCAATATTATTCAAAATGGGTGACCCTGGGGGAAATATCTGAGTCATAAAAGGACACATACTGCATGTGCCACTGTTGTAGAATGGGGCTGACATCAGGGTTGGGGTAAGACAGAAAAACTGGATTATGTATACTGCATTGAAACAGATGAGGGAGAGAATAATTAAAAAGTGATACATGATAGGGTATTATGGTTATCATAAGAGTCCAGAATTAAGGTTGCATAGGAGAGTGTACTCGGGGCGGTGGGAGGGGTGAGGGGGGATTGTATACCAAAAAAGGAATTCTGCTTATCAAAGAGAAGAGTGAACTGGGGTGGGGGAGCTGGGCAGGGAGAAAAGTGCAACAATGAATGAATGGAAATCCAAAATCTCTGTAAATGTTCATTAAAATTAATAAAATAAAATTTTTTAAAAAAAGGAAAAGTAGAGGATTATATAAAGAAAGGAAGACTATGAAATGGATTGACACAGACTTCAACAAAGGGTTTAAGCATGGCAGAGATTGTGATGATGACACAGGATAGGGCAAGTCTCCGATTTGTTGTTTACAGGGTGGCTATAGAGTCTATTAATGGTACCTAGAAAAAAAAAATAATACAAAATGCATAGTACATTGAATTTTTCCTAAAATCTCTTATTTAGTTTAAGATGGCTGAATAATAGTATAGTTTAATGAATAATGTTAATTAAATAATAAAATTAAGTAGAAAACATTAAAAGCATAACTTAAATGTATATATTTTTACCTTCAAAAAATCCTCCATAAATAGATTCCCCTCCTCGTCCATTTCCTAAGAATTAAAAAAAATTCAATGATTGTTAGAACTCAAATCAGTTCCTTGATGATACTACCTAAACAAAAGACTTCTTATGATTCTGAATTATCAAAAACCCAGAGATCACAGCAAATCATAAAGGATGTTGACTTATTATTACACTGCAAAGATTCTAAATAATCTTATTTCCCTTATTATAAAATAATGAAAGAATGTGATGAAGGTTATGAGAATATTTGAAAGAAACACAAACAACTTCCTCATCTAATGATAATTATATAGATCTTTTAGCAAGAGTTACTGTCTTTCAAAGCATAATTTTAACGGTCTTGGAAAAAAAGAACAGGCAAAACATACGGTCAGTATGGATTATTACCAATTATGGCAAAATGAAACACAACACTGATATTCTGAGTGGTAAAGTGTGGGGTGTTTTTTTAAATTTATTTTTAAACTTGGAAGCAAATTTTTGTCAAGTACTCAGGTATGAACATAGTAAATAGTCTGTTGTCTTTTCCACTTTTATATTTTTGGAGCATGACTATTTTGTTTGAGCAAAGATGACTATTACTTTTTAAACAATGCATGTCACATAATTTTTCCAAATTATGTAACCTTTTTCCATTTTATTTCCTATGTATATTATGCTTGGTAAATTGGGGGGGGGGGAACAACAACAAAAAAACTGGACCAGGTTCTTTGGTGATCTGCCCAAAGTGCAACCCATGATATCCAACTATGTATGTATATATACACACATATATAGGTACTTATATATTTATACACATCAAGTATCACATACATACATATATCAAATTTGACTTACCATTTACCTTACTGAATAGGGTAGAACTGCCCAATGAGGTTTCCAAGACTGAGAATCTTTATAGAGGCACATCTTTCTTCCATGGAACAACTGGTAGGTTTGAAGAGTTGACCTTTTGGTTAACTGCCAAGCTTTCTAACCACAACATCACCAGGGCTCCTTACATACATATATAGTATATATTTCTACCCAAAGGTGCCTCAAAGGAAAGGCCAAGCAATCTACTGAACTATCAGCCATCAGACATTGACTCTGACACACATAGTTGCTCTGAGGTAGAAGTGACTTGATGGCAATTGAAAACACACACACACACACACACACACACACACACACACACACTGGCCTTCTTTTGTTGCAGTCTTACCTTCACTGAAGTCACCACCTTGAACCATGAAATCCTTGACAACTCTGTGA